GAGCTGGCTGTGCACGTGGTGGAGACAGGTTGCTGGTGCTGGTGCTGTGAGCTGGCTGTGTGCGTGGTGGAGACAGGTTGCTGGTGCTGGTGCCGGGTGCCGGTGCTGGGTGCCGGGTGCCGGTGCCGGTGCTGGTGCCGGCTGCCGGTGCTGGGTGCCGGGTGCCGGTGCTGGTGCTGTGAGCTGGCTGCGCGTGGTGGAGACAGGGTGCTGGTGCTCTGTGCGTGGTGGAGGCAGGGTGCCGGTGCTGGGTGCCGGGCGCCGGTCAGTGCTGGTGCTGTGAGCTGGCTGTGCACGTGGTGGGGACAGGGTGCCGGCCCGGCGCTGGGTGCTGGCTGTGCGCCTGGAAGGATTTTTTTGTTCCCCACATAGCGACACCACTGCCTCTAGGGTGACACTTCATCCCACCCTCAGTGCCTGAAAGATTCCACTGATGGAGAGGTCATAGATGCAGTGAAGGCGAAGTCGTTGTTGGAGGCCTCTGGCTGCCTCTAGGGTGAGGAGAGGTCATAGATCCAGTGAAGGCGAGGTCTAAAGAATAGGTGAGGATACCTTCACCTCTGGCTACCTATATTTTCGCTTTCGAGACAGGGTGCCGGTGCTGGTGCCGGTGCCGGGTGCTGCTGGCTGGCTGGTGCTGGGTGCTGTGAACTGGCTGCGCGCGTGGTGGAGACACGGTGCCGGTGCTGTGAGCTGGCAGTGTGCGTGGTGGAGACTGTGCGACAGGGTGCCGGGGTGCTGGGTGCTGGTGCTGGCTGCCGTGAGCCGGCGCGCCGGTGCTCCGAGTGAAGGATATAACAAACCGATGCTTGCAGCAGTGAAGGGCGACCAAGCGCCGCTTCTGACAATGAAGTGCCAGCAGTCATGGGCCACACGAACTTATGCACGCAACGTCATATTGTCGCTTGAGCGTTCTTTGTCTATCAGCGCTGTGGGGTATTTACATTCTTCAGGTTCTGTTTTGGCCGACAGCTGTGTCAAGGGCCGTACTGTTTGCGCGCATACTTTTGTACGTATAATGTTCTATGCGCAACGTCAGGCTCTCAACCGACCATTGCTTCAGCATGTTTCAGCATGCTACACACACAAAGGTCGTGCTGGATACTGCTTGGCCTTGGGCGAGTGAAGCGGGCTTTGCCGTTTGTGCGCGTACTTTTGTGCGCGTAAACTTATACGCGCAAGATCATACGGCCTTATCGTTCTGCAGATCGTTGCTTCAAGCATGCTACAAAGTCAATAGTGGCGATGGATACTGCTTGGCCTTGGGCCAACGACACTTACGGGCTTTGCTGTTTGCGCGCATACTTTTGCGCGTGTAAACTCATACGCGCAAGATCATACGTTGTTATTCCCCAAATAGGGATAGCTATGGGGTTCTCGCCGCAAGTAAGAATGAGCTGGCTGCGCGCGCTTTCGAAAGGGTGTCTGGTGTTGTGGTCCTGGGTGCTGGTGCTGTGAGCTGGCTGAGCGCGCGTTTAACACGGGCGGCGTCGGGTGCTGGCGCCGCTGCCGGTGTTGTCAGCTGGGGAAGCACCGGTGCTGGTGTCAGCTGATTGTGCCCGCTGTGGAGGTAAGCTGGCTGTGCAGGCTGCGTGCATTCTTGTTCCAGCCAGTCGCATGTCAACAGGTCGTGGGATTCTGCCCAGCTATCTGGGTCCATGCTGGTGTAATTT